CACCAAGCGGATCCTTTGCCTTCCTCTAAGCAGGGTTACATATATTGTAATTTAATTCCACGCTAGCATAAAGCATTCTTGATTGGTCTTGGCTCAGTAATCTAAAATAACGCTCAGCTTATTTGATGGAGTTATTTAGTAACGTTGACCCTATTTGTTATAACATTGAAGTTAAAGTTACGATAAATGGTTGACAGCAAATCCAAGCCATACAGCAAGTTCAAATTTCTGTAAAACTTGTAGCGAGTAGAGCTCCATGTTCACAATCTGTATATTTGTAAACCGGCTTATCCTTAGAAAAGTTTCATTGATTACTGTCACTTTGAAGAAGGTGACGTTTGAATTCAATGACATATCGAATATAACTAGTCGTCTATTTACGGTTTGCTGATTGGGTTATTAAAAGGACATATGTATGGCTCACGTTGCTCCCTTTGCCTGAGAGATGTACTCCGTGTTCAGTTGAGGGCTCGCTGCTACGTAAAACGCACGAATAGTAAAGCAATAGAAGGTTTAAAAGGATCCAAGTGATTTTTATGTGGTATAATTGGAATAGAAAGGTTTTGGCTTCAAAAAATGCAGAAATCCGTTTTCCTATTTCCTTCTAAACGCAGCTTACAATAAATACAAAGTTCAACTTCACTCTTTTAGTCTAGCAATGAGGACGAACTAACTGCTGCCCTGAAAACGGCTCTCGACAGCGGATATCGTTTGATTGGTGGGGAGAGAGAGTAGAGCCTACTCTAACAATAGGTTTTTGAAATGAGTTTTACTTTATTTCATTATGTTTTAGACACTGCATTTATTTATCACAATGAAGCTGTCATTGGAAAGGTGCTTCAAGAGTACTTCAAGAGCGGAAAGCTCAAGAGAGCAGACATTTTTATTACTACAAAGGTGATTTTCTACTAATAAAGTGCTGTTGTTCTTTAGCAGTTGTTGGCAATATTTATTCGGTATTGCGAAAGCTTCAGATGCTAAACGCTCATTCAAAAGTATTGAGAATGGTCTTTGGAATATTTTTGCTTCCTAAAAAAACAACTAAAGCTGCATAACCTACATTATCAGAACGTTCCAGTACACAATTGTCCAGTGATTTGTGTAAACGTTCTATTACGAAATACTTGCTTGCACTTTATCAGTTCGATACATTAGCTAAGTTCCAGCTTCCCTTCACGGCGCACGCTCCTGAAGATGTGGAAAAGTGCTTCAACATGCAACTGGAAGCGCTTCAGCTCGATTACGTAGATCTTTATCTTATACACTGTCCAGTGCCTGTCCAGGTATATCTTTAATATTATCATCGACGCCGAATGCATTGATAGCAACATGGGAAAGGTAGAGCTGAAATGAAATTGGTGACTAAAATGTAAGAAGATTAAGAGGACACGTGGAATTGAAAAATAATGCTCGAAAAATCCTTCGAATTGTCGCCGCCTATGCTCCACAAGCTGGATGCAAGGAGGAAAAAAGAATATGTTCTAGCAGGAGCTTGACGATTACATCACATTCATACCACAGGATGAGATACTCCTGCTTGGAGCAGACCTCAGTGGTCATGTAGGAGAGAAGAAATGTGCAGCAAAATGTCACGGAAAGAAGGATACGGCACATGCAGTGAGGAAGACGAACGTATTCTATAGTTCGCCACAGCGTACGACCTAGCATTAGTCAACACGTACTATATCAAAAAGCATGAACAGTTGATTACGTATACAATGAAGACCGTCGAACACAATTTGATGACTGGGCAGTGGGCCACAAGAACCCAAAGAAACAAAGGGTTAACCCAGGTGAAAGCTGCATAGCTCAGCATAAGGCACTACTTCTAGACATAGTTACAAAGTAAGTTGAAAGACAAAGAAAACCCACGACTAACAGCAAAGTACGAATCAAGTGGTGTGAAAGAGAACTCGCTGGCCAAGAATGCTCTGGCAAGTGTGCTACCAGCCCTTTGTGAGAAACCAGAGCAGTCGTGGTTAATTTTGAAGCGTAATGTACATCGGGTGACAAGGAATTTACAAGGTCGTACGAAGCCAGGATGAAGAAGAATCGACAAAGAGACTTGGTGGTGGAACGTTGAGGTTCAAACGGTGATAAAGGAAAAGAA